TGTTGCTGCAATTACCAACATCAACCACATGGTGATCACCACCTCCTTGCAAGGCACCATCCTGTGTGATGCCAAGGCTAAAGGAGGGTATATCAGCCACCATCTGCTTGAACTTCCTCCTCGCCAACTCTGCCTCCTCTGATGCAACCAACTTAGAGATATTTGAAGGATCGCTCCAAATGAACTCATCATAAGACACTTCAGAAAATGCACATTCCGCAGGCTGCACACCATCTTTTGGATTTTTATTCACTAATCCCAGTAACCTTCCAGCAGCAATCTGCAATTCCACATAAACATCGTTCTTCATCGCCTCAGCTGGTGCGCCCTCCATTAACGACACTAACTCCACGACTGACTTTGCCAGCATCTTACCCTTTTCTGCAAACTTTTTAAGAAAAACATGATGCATAATGAATCATAATATAAGAAAGTATGCGCATTATCAATAAAAATAAAGGGCATGTTCAGTGCATTTTCACTGTAACATCTAACTTGCTACCTTCAAGACATCACCATCCTCATCTCGCATCTCGGTCTGCTGAGTGCCTTCTCTCAAAATAGAATCTTTCTCTCCTCGAACCTCAATGCCTTCTGCCCCCTTTGCATTGTCATCCGCGTTGTTTTCCTCAGCTACAGATTTCTCACACACATACTTTCCATCGTCAAATCCCAAACCAAAGCCACCAGCCTTCACTTCTTTATTCTCTCTATCCCTAAGTATCTTTGATGTCCAGCCAACAAAAGCAGGTGCTGTCCTCTCCACATCCCTATTGTAAAGAACCACCCTATCAACATAGAAAACCTACAACGTAGAGAAAAAATTAGCTACATGCAAAACAAATTCAATAAAATATGTATACAAATTTAGTATAGTGCATGTGAACCATACCATCAGAAACATCAATGGTCCTGTGAAGTATTTACTCTTTCCATCCTCCCACCTGATTGCACTGTCTATCAATGTCCTGTGCACATATTCACACCAATTCAATCTCACTACTGAATCAATGTTAGCTATGTTCTTCAACACAGCAGGGTTAACGTAACCATGGCTTGGAGTATCTACGAGAAGTGCCACTACCAACAACACAAAATGGCGAACAAACCACACCCCACCCTCCTCGTATGTCAACAGCTTCTGACCCAACTCCAACGGCGTTATCCTATTATCCTTCTTGCCAAATTCTGCTCTCCACTCCTCAACCAAGCTACATTTCTCACTCCTTGCTTTGTTACTTATCTTAATATTTCCCCTCGGAAAGCCCAACACATGCTCAACATCTTCTATGCTGATATGCAATCTGACATGCTTTGGAAGCTCAAGTGTGCTGCTCCTTGGATTAAAATTCTTTACCACCCAATACCCCAATTTGGCAGGCAGCTCTGTCAACCGTAACCTCAGAATAGAACCGAAACCAATCTTTTCTATCTCCTGCTTTTGGATGTTATTCAGAGCATCCAACACTCCCTGCAACACATGTGGTGAAGATCTCGTCTTTATCCTCATGTACTTTTCCTTCATCTTCCGAAGCCCGTCCTTCCTTTTCTTCACCACTGTTGCAACTTTTGAATTCACTGGTTGAGGGATATCCACACTGATATTCTTCTTTGGGGGTTCCTCAAAATCATCGTCACTATCAGAACTATCACCCTCATGCTCAGGATCTTCAGCATCATTTCCTGCACAATCCATAACCTCATCGTCATCCTTATCCTCTTTCTCTACATCATCAGCATCTTTGGACCCATCATCCTTTTCTTCACCTAAATCCACATGTTCAGCATCCCGCTTTGGTCTCTTCTTAAGCTGTACCAGCATCAGCCTACCACTTCTACGCACGGGAGATGCACTTTTAATAAATTCTGCTTTCCTTTTCAAGGCAAACACCCCACCAGCACGCGCATTTGACTGTGGTGAGCCTACATTTCACGTGAAAGATTAAGTATTACACACCTGTCTCTTAAATTTTCCAACAAAGTAAGCAACAACTAAACATGGAATACATATTAATCAAATCACCCCATCCAACTGAAGGATACATGACAATGTTATTTTTTTT